CACACCCACAGGAAGAGGTAAATCTTCTCGTTTAACATGTTTACCGGAAGAGCACAGATCGCAGTGTAGAGCTGTGATCGAACCCCTAGATTTGGAATTCGAATTGGGCAGAGGGCTTGAAGCGGGAAGATGTCACTCCCTCCCCACTCCTGTCGACGAGATGCTAAGTTGAAAAGACGCTCACTGAAAGCCCGTAGACTGCTCTGGCTGGTACTGTCAGGTCCCAGGAACCGCATTACGATGAACAGCTGTCCTAAGCAGTTGATGATGTAAAGAACTTTGACAAGCAGATATAGGACAGCTGTGCGATTGCCCAGACGCTTTCCAAACACACAGAAACTTGCACACTGGGTAAAGGCGAGTACCTTGTGTTGAAGTCGAGAGAAACTGGATTTTCGGGTCTCCATGTGCTGTCGTGAAAGGAGATAGAGGTGGTGAGCGCATGCTTGAACCAGCTTGGATCTTGTGCCCAAGTCTTCACTTGCTGTGGCAGTTTGCGCATGTGCGATGAGATAATTGAGATTGTCACCGAGGGTGTAGACCGACATTGCTTGCCAAATGAGATGAGGTAAATAGAAAAGGATGGCTTGAACCGAAAGGCAGAATGGCACCCACTGATAGAATGCTGAAAGAGATGTAGATAATTAGGACACCCACCAAAGTAAGATTAAAGATTGGGGTTAATGCTCACATATATCAGCCCTTTGTCGGAGTTCGTTCCATTGCGATTCATTGCTGGGAAAGCTATCGTCTTTGCCAAGACCGATAGTTCCTTGTACCCAGCAGACCGACTCCGCATAGCTCCCAAATCCACCTGAAGGCGCGGAAGGAGCGGTGCAGGAGATGGGCCGCAGAAAATAGACGTTAGTCATGGTGATGCTAACAAGAATAAGAAGTATCAAAGTGGTATAGAAGTTGTTTAATCGATCACTGAAGTCTTCAAGAGTAGAAAAATCATTTCCTCTGGACCCGTAGCGCTTGTTGAAGTTTTCTTGCAAGCCCTCTCCTAGAGATATTTTCATTTCCCAAGTACACTTCGCAAATGATGACAACTCAAAGCTTTTATGACCTTACTTTAATCCGTGCATCAACCGTCCAATCATAACCCTCTCAATTGGCCTTCATTTTGAGCTGATTTTGACTCTTTTGGATGATTGGTGCTCAAAATCCTGGACCGTACGTTATAACCGAGGAGTCGTACAACTGTGTGCCTGCGTTTAAAATTCATTTTCATTGCTAACCATGGAGAGCAGTGGGAAGAGATTTTATAAAACTTTAATGGGGAGGATTTTTTGGATGCAATGAAATGCTTTTAAACCACTAAGCCCGTAAGGATTTCTTTAGACAATTGAACCTATTACATTTTCAGATTGTAGATGTAATACCTGTGGATTGTTTAGATGTGAATGTTAAAGTTCAGTTTGCACGCCGTACTTAAAGAGCGGGACATATTCGAATCTCTGTAGATATTTCCTTACCTCATTCTGTGCTCTATCAACAGTTGTAATCTGTGCAATGCTCGATAAAATCCTCATAAGTAAAGCATTCCCAGAGGAAGACATTGATTGAAACTGATGAGAGCGAGGTCATAGTAGACGTCTGCAGCTGTGTTCTCAAAGTCTCTTTGGCTGTATTAGGGGTTAAATGCATCTGAGAGCTTTGGGTTTTGTACCTCTACATATTTTGCTACAGATACGATCTCATGGATGGTCATATCGTCTTCGACCGTAGGCTGGGCTTTGAACCATACCAGCGACAAACTATTCATGTTCTGCCCATCCGTCCTCCTCAAGGAAGTCTTAGATTAATGTACCAGCAATAAGTAATTGTTTTTTCGATTTGTGTCGTAGACAGTATAACAGGCGTTTTAATGCTTCTGGTGTTAATATCTCTGGATCATCCCGCCCGCTAGCAGTTACTAAACTTAATTAGACCTTAATTTAATTAAACATCAGCAACACAGTTTCGTAACTTTTGCTGAAATAG